CTCTCTCCTCTCACTCACTCACTTCTCTGTGTCGCAAGTAAGCCAAGCATCTCTCCTTGCCCTGATCTGGGTAAACAAACAGATGCGGGGAAATTCCAATCACCTCCGGTTTCCATGCTCCATCCCTTTGTTCGACATAGTTTAAGAGCGAAGGCGAGCGGAAGCGAATGTCTCAAATTCTATACCATTGCGCAATAACGATACTCTGGAGAAAGTCCACTCTCCGGTTTCTGAATTCTTTTTTTTTTTCAAGACTACTTTTAGAGTAAATATCGTTGAGACTAAAATACTCACGTTCTGAATTCCCTTCATGAGTCTGCTTTAAAAAAAATTGCATGCCACACAATCCGAGGAGGAAAAAGAGCGATTGCTTGTCGATCCAGGAAACCGAGAGGGAAATGAAACTGCAAGTGCTCAAACTAGAAATGCGGCAGTTCCTTCATGCAAGTCTTGATTACGGATTAGGCCAACTCGTGTACCTGAGATTTTATCGTCCAAAAAGGGAGACTTTTCCTTGCATGCGTCTTTCTCCCTCCCTAATTCCTTTAAGCATACCCCTTTCACAGTCTCTTTGAGATTAAAACACGACGGTGTAATTCTTACGCAAGAGAAAAAACTTTTTCGAACCCGAAAGTTTCACGATATTCGCAAGCTTTTTTTTTATACCGCGAAAATACTTACTCAAGTTCTCCTGGGGTTCTGAATTAAACATTTTTTAAATCGGGTCTTTATGACTTGTCAGCCTCAATGGACCAAGTGATCCTTAAACGCGAGCCTCAGGAGTTCTCCGAAGGGAAAATACTATATATCTAGGAATTGTCGTGGGTTTGCCATTTAGTCACTGCGAGGACGGAATGACCCGTACACTAGATTTAAATACGATTTTGTGGAGATGCCTTTTCCCCTCCTTGTCGGGGGTGCCTGATTCGGCTCATAAATTTTCACGGCAACTTTCGTCCAATTTCACGGAGAGCTGGACCGAAAAAGCAGGAAACGTCACGGCCATTAAACACTTATCTCCTTAAAATTGATCAGTGAGATGAGCTACTCCAAGCAAAGCTCTAATGACATTAAGGGCACAAGTTTGTGAGTTGAAAGCTGTTGAGGTACGGCCGAGGTTTCACCTTGACGCCAAATCGTTGCCTTCCCATTCTGCTTACCGCCCACTATATCCGGCGATCTGCATTAGCGGCACTTCTGCGTTGTAGGCCTTTTTTTTGCGCACAACCTTGTCTGGTTAGTCGCGGGCGTCCCGATTTTGTTCGATTCGCTTGACAGTTGGGCTTCCGTGCCTAGTCAAGTGTGAGGATCAGGAACAGAACCTGCAGACCCCAGTCAGGACAGCCGTCAATTCCATTCATATTGTGTTCTCCGAGCCTCAGCCACCCGAACTACTCAACTACTTTAAGTCATGAAAACGCACACCGTTCCAATCCCATGCGTAGTCAGCAGTGAAGTCCGTTCCTTCGTGCAGTCTTTTAACTGAGGTGCAGGCGCACCGGAAGCAGTCGCTCGTTGCTGTCACGAACGAGTGCTTCCGACAAAAATCTTTACCGTACTAGTCATTCTGGAAGCCTTAAAATCCGTTACAACGAACCCAGTCCATTTTTTATTTTTTCATCTCTTGTCATTCCATTTTTTATTTTATTTTTATCCCCGTGGAGATTGTGGGAATTCCCTAGGAAAGTCACTCAACTGGGAACGTGACGCCTCAAGTGCGCAGTCACTTATCCCGGTGGAATGCATTCCCCTGGATACGGATGTCTTTTATCAACGGAGTTGAAGGAGCCTAGAAAACCCATACGCGACCTCGGGTATATTGACCGATAAGAGAAAGAGCGGATTTATGGGTTGCTCTCATTCGTCAGAATGGGTACGGGGGCGTCCCGAAGATGCAACGACCTCTGAAAGCGTAGCGGGATAGGGCAAAACACAAAAAAAGATGACCCATAAAAACATTTCATCCAGGATCCGTGATATCTGCAGGAGACTTGCGTGTTTGCGTTATGACTTCGTCGAATCAGCCAAGTCGTTTCCGGCCGTTCTCTGATGAAAAAAAAAAAGGTATCCAATAGGGTTAATGTGGTGGGATGGTCTACGGGCGGATTTCTGTTTCGCCCTTCTCGTCTCCTTGTTGGCCTATTCCCGGGTGGAAATAGGCCAAACCAGCCTGGGATCGATAAGGCGCCCCTCAGTTCATTCACCTCGGTGACACAGTAGCCCAGCTTGGGTCTCCCTCTCGCGGCCTCGCGTGCAAGGAATCCTTCCATTCACATTCACCTGCACCCTCTGACGTCAGCTAGCAAACAATAGTGGTGGCGAGTGTTGGAGAGGGAGATCGGTTTGGATAGGAGAGGGAAGGATAGGTGAGGTTGCGTCAATCGCTTCTACGTTTTGCAATAAGTCGCTGACGTCAGGCACTCTAATCCCCAGCAGCGGGGTGAGTGCCCTGGCCCAGAGAAATGAGGACACTACTCCTCGCTCGCTCTCTCTTACCTCCTTCTAATCTTTGGGTCTCCCTCCGATCTCATAGATGGCGCCTCGTTGGCGTCGAGTATCTCTTGTCCACGTGCCACTCTGGGTTGCCCTTCACGCAGTTCACGTATCTCATCGCCTACGGAGATGGGAGAGGAACAGTGTTTCATATCGGGCTTCCCGCACTTCTATCAGGGATATATGAGTGCGAGGACCTCGGAGTTGTTTACGACGGAGTCACCTTGCATCACAAAAGAAGCAATGACTCACCTTTCAATGAGCTTGTTTCATCCTCTGTCGGTTATAGATGATAATATATGTGCTTCCGTTTGACCTCAGAATCTTGGTCATGCGGCACATTGAATCTACCAGGAAAAAACCTGACTCCACGTGTACTCATTCGCGGATCAATAAAGGAACTATAACGGAAGCTATTAGGTGCCTTTGAGATGTGGTCTCCACGAGTGTTTTTTTTTGTGGAAGGTTAAAAAAAAAAGGCAGTCTACTTTTTGCACGCTACTCCGGTTTCAAAGTTTCAAGAGTTTATAGCCTATCGTGTCCGTTGGTAGCTAGAACCGACATTATTATAAAATACAATTTGTTCGGTTTTGAGACGCGGCGGAAGAGCAAGTGCCGATGGACGCAATGGTACGGAATGAGAAAATAAATTCCCTAGAGAGGGAAAATAAGAGCCTTTCCTCCATCTAGGGCAAGGTTTACGGCCTTCCAGATATGCCTTGAATAGCGAGAACGGCTTGGGGTTATAATGAGAGATCCATGTCATCACGGGACGAGGGATTCCAAGGCTCACGAGATATGATTTCGCGGCTCAAAACGGTTATCTTGCCTCGTTGTGGCGTACGGATTACTCAATTTGTGCGGAGGGGAGTAAGTGAGTTGGGTAAGTCGGTGAATCGATGGCTTTTCCCCGAGTTCAACACACCTCAATTGGGTCATGAACTTGGCCGAGTCGCCGTGAGATGGCGTGGGGGAGCCCGGCCGCTCCGCTATTGATTTCGGTGCGAAAGTTTTGTCCTTGGGAGTCGGAGAGTTGAATGCCCGCCATGTAGGTTACGGTTCCCTCTCGAGCTCCCTCGCTGCTAGCCTTTGCCTACATCTACCCCAGTCCCATAGAGGCCTCTGCCTCCTACCCATTGACTCCCTTCGCACATGCGCGTTCACCCCTTCTAATATAACAGGAAATGTTACTTCTCCGAATTCATCATTTACACGAATGCATAGCATATGCTCCGGATATAACGCATATTACTTGTAAGCATGAAATGTGACTTTCCAACAGAATCAGCAGTGGTAGCAGTACCATATACCACGAGGTCATCAAACCCCGACCTCATCCCTGATGTGAGCACGGAGAATGACAAATCCGAAGTTCGAGATTGCAAAGGGTGATACGCGGGGTGACTGACTCACTCCTCGGGAGACGCAAACACAAAGGCTATTCCATGATTACGAGATTGATAAATGCGTATAGCGGCAGGTTTCCGGCATTCCCACAAGCTCTGCCGGTAATGGACAATGAGGTTATTAAACCGACTTGGTGTTGTATAAAGAGCATGGAGGGAGGCAGGCATGCATGCATGCATGCAGCAGCGAAGAAAGTGGTTTCACTAGAGCTGCGCACATTGACCCATCCCTACTGTTCCAGCCCTCCGGCCATATCGGACAGTGAACTTGAGTACAGGGAACTGAGCCGTGCTAACGGAACAGTCCTCTTCCTCTCCTTTTCTCTCCCCTCCCCCCTCATGCACGACTACTTCCTCAAATGAAAGTTACACAGTGTGCTGAACTTACCTGTACTTCCTACTTGGGAAGCATTAACCCTTTAAGAGCTCAAAATCCTGGATCGTTTTTCGTTTTTAGAATCCATGAGAGGCAGATCCATCGGAGGTGAAGCAGGATGACAGTGGTTAGTTGATGGGTGTTATTTGCATTTCATGTAAAATCTAAGAACGGATGAGGAAAGTCGGAGAGATCGTGTCATTGACGCGCCGTCACCATGACCTTGTTATCGAAAACAGTCAACAGCGCCCGGACTCCACAAGGCCACATGTGGGCATGCGCTCGAACCACAGGCCCCATGACAGTAAATATCATGCATGTATAACGCTTTATGATAGTTTCTTGTTACATGGGGGCCATGAAGTGAATTTGGAAGTTGGCCGGGAGTTGAACTTGGCAAGGAACGGCCAATGCACCCTGTTACATTCCCAGAGTTTTGCCAAGTGTAGGTAATTCAGTCAAGGTTCTTCGCCGGGCCCGGTTGCACTGGATCCGGGATGTGAGAGGCGAGACACTCGTATGCGCAGAACGGGAGGGAGGAGTCGAGTCCATGCAACCGGGCTAACGAGGGCAGTGAACCTCCGATGCGCGCAGCGCCCTCGTTGCTAAGATCCAGCCTTATGTACAGCTGACGGAAGGGCGAAACTCGCAGAACGCGTGTCTCAGCCGAGACTACCCTTGAATTTCTGGTTCCAAGTTCAACTTGGTGCCCGGCACAAGCGGCTCCCACTTTCACTCTCACTGGAGTCGGGAAGGCTTCGCTGCAGTTGCTTTGTTGTGTTGTGAGCTCTGTGACATGACATGCTTCACCTACCCATCTCTCGAGTGTTATAAGTACTGAGTAAGCCCGTACGTATCACGATGATCATCACGGAAAAGGATCTCTTGCTTTTGCAATCCTTGCCATCGTCCTCGACAACTTCCAGTTCAATCTCTCATGCGCCTGTATCGAAGAGCCCAAACATTGAGAAATGTGATTCTCAACTTGACATCGGTGAGATCAGATAGCTTGCTCTGTACCTCTGTTTCACCTTTTTTAAAAACACTTTTTCTTTCCTTTTACGTAGCAAAATACATTTGTTTTCCCTTTTTTTTCAAAACAAAACGATCTTCGTATCTAACCCGTGAGGGTTCATTTTCAGTTCCTTGGTATTCGGAAATCGTTTGCCGGTCTTTGCATGGACCTTGGAATCGAAATCCGAGGGCCTGGAGATCGGAATGATGTGGAGTGTAAAATAAACAATTCCGCAGCTGGTTTTATTGCGAATGACGCTCATCGTTTCCATCTCACGTTCTTGTCGGATTAGATCCGCATATGGAATAAGTTGATCCTGTTGTCAGGGTCATAGCGTAAAATTTCTCGTGACGCAACAAAGAGAAACCTACAATGTTCGTGGAAGTCAGCTTCCGGTGTAAGTTCTGGCGGTGTTGCAGTGTCGTCAATGCAGACTTCCCATCCATAATCAAGTAAAGAGAAAAAATACACGCCCTCTACCTGTTACAGATTGCATAGGCTCTGGATAGTTTCCAAACGTCGCATACACGTGCGTGCGGCCAAGAATGAAAGTGTTCCCAGGACCTGGATAATTTTTTTGCTAATGAATGCATCAATTTCTTCTGTTTCCTTGATCAGTAAATAGCAGACCATGGTGCGCCCATCTTCCCTTTATTGTTATTATTTTCTTCCTCCAACGTGCTATTACATACCGTGCGGAGTGAAGTTGGAGAAAATGAGTTTGCATGGTAAACGAACAGGATAGGTTGTGAATTATGTGAATTCATCATTCTGGAGAGAAATGAAAAGAATGGAGGAGAAAAACTGACTGGGACGAACAATGAAGGGAAAAGTGAGGATTTTGTCAGTTCATAGACCCCAGGGTCGGTGCAGTGGAAAATTCCCGGCCATGGGTTAGGCCTACTTCGCCGAGTGGTGTCAGTGCCCTCTTTTTTTGGTTTGCCTCCTCGACTCTCAGCTGGGACTGGATGGTAATATTGAGGTCATCGGCCTCTCCATGCTGAGAGAGAACTCCCTCCCTCTTCTCACTCTCCTCTCTCTTTCTCTCTCCCTCTCCGTCGTTTTCCCGGTTTCTCTACCCTTTCCTATTTTTATGAGCATGCATATACGAGCAATTAGTGGAGCATATAATTTTCTGTCACATCACGAATCTTTACAGTTGGACAATGTTATTCACCTTTCAATCTGCCTTCATAATTGTATCTTGGTACATGTTTGTCCACTAGCCTTACTCGAGGCGTCATTATATGGAAGCAACAGGGAGCAACGGCCTCATGAATCGTCCCGAGTAATAATGGCTAAATTGTATTGCTTTAAATTGTTCTATCCCTATTTTCATGTGGAATCACGTGGGGTAGGGGGGAATTTGAAAGGGCGTGGCTCATTAGGAAGGGGACTCAGGGGAAAGAGTGAAACGAGTTTAGTGGGAGTGTGGCGCACCGTAAATGAGGGCGGAGGGAAGAGGAACTCACTCCTATTTAAAGGAATTTTCCGGCTCTCGCTTTGCTTCACGAGAGAAGTGCGAGAGGGGGTTCACTGACCCCGATACGTTTTCCTGGTCCACGGCCTGTGCCTCCTCTGTACAGGTCTTCATTTCACGGCTCCTTGGCCCCCAAACTCTTCATGTCTCTTCACTTTCCCATTAGATTCACGGTATGACATAGAAGGAAGTAATCGCTGAATGCCTCAGATCACTGCCTCCTCATCCAAGCGGAATGGATTCCATTTCCGTGTTCTGTATGGTAGGGTCATATCGTAACGAATGCTCATGTCCGCCCCTCAGGAACGTATTTCCTCGCTGTTCCAATCCAGAAGCATGCAGTAATTTACGATGCCATGAAAGAGCTGTATGTATCCATGACAAATTCATGCTGTTGCCATGAGAGTTCACGATAGATCGGCGAAATCGTGTGACACATATTCGCACAACATTTTATGTGCTAGGATGTTGACTCTAACTGCACTGACCTGACATGCTGTGTAATGAAAGCCCTTTCCCCTTTATTCTTTATTTGCAGAGTTCGATGGCACGACGGTGCTGTGCAGAGTTTGTGGAGACAAAGCTTCAGGATTCCACTATGGAGTTCATTCCTGCGAAGGTTGCAAGGTGAGCGAACCTGAGCCCGAGTGTGTCTGCGCGAGTGTGTATGTGCAGAGTCGGTCATTGGCCTTCCGCTTGTCCCGTGCGGAATGCCGAAGGGGAGGGCTCCCTCCTCCTCCCGAGTAGCCTATTTCCAAGAATCTGGAAGAGGCAGAGAGCCCTTGTGACCCATTTTTTAGGGAGATAGAAAGAGGAGACTCTTCCGCACCCAGAAGGAGTGCAGCGCATGGAGAGAGCGCTAGGAAAGGTGAACGGACTCCCATGACCTCCGAGGTGCAACGAACGAGCAAGATGCGCTTACGCCATGGCACTCGTTCTGCGCCATTGCATACTCTGTCAAGTCAAATCTGTAGGAAAGTTAGGACCGAGACGAAGGACTGAAAGGGTTTATCCTCCCAACCCTGTTCCTCTTTCAGTCCCTTTTACTCGGAGAGGGTTTTGCAAGGATGATGCAACGTGTTCCAGCGCTGTTATTCGTAGGCTGGGATTGCCTCATCGTCTCTTGACCCACTTGAGGCCGAAGTATTTCACTTTCCCTCTCTCCTGAACTGGCCGGCCGGGTCGCCTGCCATGCGCTTTCGGCACTGCAGTTCAACAACCTGAAAGTAGACCACGTTGCGAGAGCTACGTAACGAGACCCCCTTTCCACTCCTTTCCTGTTTTGACCACTAGGCTAGGAAGCAACGACCGGGCCAGGCCTCACATGCCTCCGAGCTCCCCTGGTATTGTGCAAGAACCCCTTTGAAGAGCCTTACTTTATGGGAATACGTATGATGGTCCTGTCGCAACAGAGACCGTATAGGCTGATGCATTGGGTGGTGGTCAGAAACAATGATGCGCTTTCTCTGATAGTTGAGGACGAGAAGAGACAACCTGTCCGTTCCACAGTGCATGCATTCGCATTACAATTAAACCCAAAACACCAATCGGATAGTCGTTATCAGTGGTCAAGAATGGTCTCTTTGGCATGCAAAAATTCAGTTGGTATAAATTCATCATGTTCGTCACGTCTCGTATTCTCACACAAATGAGTACACCCTAAAATGGCTTTATCTTCAGGATTATGGGGTAATTATGGGTTTATTATCATATAACAGATGTCATACATGCGTATGGGTCACGCAGATGTATCTGAACGTTTCACGAATAAGCAAGCTATAGGTTGTTCGTTCAGTGAAGAATATTACTTCTCAGTGCATTCGTGCTATGTATGGCTAGACTCCATCATCGTAACAATTTTAATTACTTTTCTTCTAGGGATTCTTTCGAAGAAGCATCCAGCAAAAGATCCAGTATCGTCCATGCACGAAGAACCAACAGTGTTCCATCCTGAGAATCAATCGGAATCGATGCCAATATTGTCGGCTGAAGAAGTGCATCGCAGTGGGAATGAGCCGAGACGGTGAGGAAGTTTCCAGTTCTTTCTTCGCTCTGTCTCCGGTCGTTGAACTCACGAGCCACGACGAGAGAAAATTCCCCGAAATCTTGAGTCAGGATTACTACAATGGAAACCGTAGACCCGTAGGCGGAAGAGGGGAAGTAGGGCAGAAGTGGAAAGCGTAGCCAGTCTTCTCGAAAAGGTCAAACCAGTCAGTGTTTGGAACCGAGGAACGGGGGGTGAAGATGACGTATGCCCCATATATGAGGGCTCATTACGTCATGGAGATTGTTGAGTAGTTTCGTGGAAGAGAGAGGAGTGAGAAGATAGAGAGAGAGGAGAGAGAGAGCGCTCCACGCCGAGTTCAAGTCAGAAGGCAGAACGCACGCGTAGTACCGCTCTCTTGTCCTTCCTATCTCACTTCGCTTCCAAGTCTCTCGTCGCAAGATTCTAATACAGTGGGTGAGACTGCGTAGCACGGGCAAAAGGGTTCAGGGATCACGTTCAAGGACTGGCGCGTGTGCAGTGTGCTGGCTAGGACCATATAGTGCTTTGTGTAATGGGAGAAGGAATAATGGACACCTTGGAGGAGCATCCCATTCTTAAAGGGATCTTGTCGAGTGGTCAAAGGCCCTCTCATCATTCGAACTCGAGCTCTCGTGAGTATCATCGACCGGACCGTGCCCTTGCGAGGAGGTTTGGAGGAGTCCAGTGCAGTGGAGATGACCGAAGTCTTGAACGATCGCTTTTTACAGCCGTGAGGTTCGGACGCGTTCCGAAGCGTGAGAAAGCGAAAATCCTGGCGGCAATGCAGTCCGTCGCTTCTCGGTCTCAAGAACGAGCCTTGGAGGCCGATCTTCAGAACGAAGATCATCTCATCACCACCATTATTCAAGTGAGTATTTCATGACGCTGTTCACCCTAAAAGCTGGAATTTCGAGGTAAATGGACAGAGTTCATAAAGCGTTTGTTGGCGCAGGCTCATGAGGAAACGTGCGACTTCAGTCGCGAGAAGGTGGCGCTTCTCATCCAGAAGGCCAAAGAATCGTCTGCTTACGTCGCATCTCCATCTGCTTTGGTAAGAGCAAAGAAGCGTCGCAGTGACCTCAAGGACTCAACCCTTTATGGAATGGAAATGAGAAACCCGTGTTGCTCGTTCGCAGGCTTGCCCGCTGAATCCGGCCACTGTGACGAACCCGGCCATGGTGGATGGTTCGGGGCCAGGGCCAGGCGATCACATGCAGTTGAAGGACTTTTCGGCCCGTTTCTCCCCTGCCATTCGAGGGGTCGTGGAATTTGCCAAAAAGATCCCCGGCTTTGCTCGTCTCAACACGGACGATCAGGTCACTCTTCTCAAGGCCGGCGTTTTCGAAGTCCTTTTGGTCCGCCTTGCCTGCATGTTCGATTCCCAGGTAAGATTCCCGAAACCGGCTTGAGGATACAAGGAAGTCTCCTTGCGACTTCCGGTCTTTTCAAAAATAAGGCGAAGCATGTTCTATAGTCTTTTTTTCTATTCAAACCCTGCAGAGATGCACGTTGGTGAGCCTGAACGGTCACGTGCTGAATAAGGATTCTATCCCGACCGGAGCCAATGCCCGATTCCTTCTGGATTCCATGTTTGATTTTGCTGAAAGACTGAACTCGATGCATCTGAACGATGCAGAGCTTGCCCTATTCTGCGCTGTGGTTCTCATTACTCCTGGTAAGTCTACCTTTCGAGATCTGTTTTTCACTTCATTCCCGAAAAGGCATGAAGGACTCAATTTAATGCTTGTCGTGTTTTCCTCCAGATCGACCCGGTCTCCGAAACGGGGATTTGATCGAAAAGATGAGCAGGAAATTGATCGGGGCCCTGCATACTGTGTGTAACCAGAGCGGTCACGATTCCACGATGGTCTCGCAGGAATTGCTGAAGAAGATTCCCGATTTGCGAACCCTGAATACGCTTCACTCGGAGAAGCTGCTGGCACTGAAGATGACGGAACAAGAGCAAGTGAAAGAGGAAATGATGAAGCCGTGGGGAAACCGGGGTGAAGACTCTCATCCCCATTCCCCTCATTCTTTCGACGAGGGTGTCAAGAGTCCTCTGGGATCGTTGAGCAGCAACGAATCCGTCTGCTCGGGGGAACTGATCGTGCCGACGAATCGAGGCTTTTGCGAGACGGTCTCCTGTGACGATCAGGCGTCTCACTCCCCGTATCGAAGCAGAAAGCTGGATTCCCCCACTGATTCCGGCATCGAATCCGGGTGTGAAAAAGGGAAATTGAGTCCCTTGCATCCGGCGTCGGTGTGCAGCAGCCCTCGTAGTCTCCGTGGAGGGGACAGGGAAGAAGCGGACGGAATCGGAATGGAAGACATGCCGATGCTGAAGAGAGCTCTCCAGGCCCCGCCGCTCATCAACACCAATCTTCTCATGGACGAAGCGTATCGTCCCCACAAGAAATTCAGGGCTCTTCGTCGGGAGGCAGGAGGCGACGGGGAAGCGACCCCCAGCCCCTCACCCCTTCAGATGGCTTTGTCCTCGTCTCACTCTACCCTGGCACGCTCCTTGATGGAGGGACCAAAGCTGAGTGCCGAACAGTTGAAGCAAAGTGATTATTTGACCAATTTGATCATGAGAGGAGGAGGGGAAGGGGGACATGGTGGGGGTGTCCCGTGGCTCACCCTCAGCTCGGCAACAGTTGTGACCCCAGCGACGAAGCATACTGTGATGACCCCGGCCTGTTCGAGCCCACCCCGCCCCCCTACCCCACCGTACCCACCTCGAATGTTTTACGACAGCAACAGCAACAGCAACCCTGCTGCTGCTGCCACGATCACGATGAACACCACCGTGACGACGACGGCGAACACTGGGCCCCCTTCCCCGGCCGTTTGTCAGCGCAATATCCTGGAACTCCAGGTGGACATAGCTGATTCCCAGCCGTTGAACCTGTCAAAGAAGACACCACCCCCCTCTGTATCCCTTCAAGTATGATTCCGTCCCCTCTCCTCCCTTCCCTTCTCTACCCTACCCCAGTTCCCTCGACTTGATCAATATTTGTGATGATTATCAGTTTTTTTGTCTATAATATCATATGTGTTAGGTAGGTGGGCGAGTGAGGCAGCCGATTGAGATGTAAGACAGGGAAATGATTTTATTTTTTTTGCAGAGTACAAAGCAAGTGAGACGAGAGAGAGAGTTTGAATCAGATGATTCCTTTAAAGAGGTTCGCGCTGTACAGTTCTGACGGACAACATCCCACACGCTGTAGGAATGTACAAAAGATGTTCGAGCATTCGTCATTCACCTCTCTCTCTCTGTGTGTCTCTGTCCCTTATTATATTCAGAATTCATTATTCCCCCTCCCCTGTTCTCTTCCACACTTTTCTGTTGCCCCCCTTGGCTTCGGTGGTGCTTATGGCCAGTAAGTGTTTTTTTTTTTTAAGATGATCTTGATGATGAATATTTATTTTTCTTGCCTGCGTCAAGCTTATTCCGTCGTCGTCGTCGTCTTTAGCGCATGACAATTGTTTTCTTCTTTCCACGAAGATGCGTTTCCGCTCCGGACATAGTAGATCTCCTCTAAGATGCCAGACGCACGATGCTCTCTTGTTTTCTTCTCTTTGTGTGTGTACGCTTACTTCCAAGGAGAGGATGTATTATAATTCTGGAAATACGCTTAAAAAAAAAACAGCGTGGAAAAAGTGTGATGTGTGCTACATTGTCCGTGGAGGTGGAATAAAGTGATTTGAAACGGGGAAACACTGTATTTCTCTTACCCACAACAGGTTGCGGCATTCAACTGCAGGCACGGGTGGGAACCGGGGAGATAAGCCGGTGAAGGTTGAGGACGAGGAATTTTTTTTTTTTCTTTTCAAGGGTTTGACCTTGGGGTGACTGGTGACACACTCCCGTCCTCCGCCTGAGTCACATCAGTTAGATGCGATCAGCAAATCGGGAGACCCATTCCGTTTACTTACCGGACCGATGGTTAATTACGTCGAGAGCCTCATCGTCGCAGGTGGAAGATTTGATCACAGGAGATGATCGTATTTCTCCGGTGACCTTGGGAGAAGACACGGATGTGACTAGCTGGAAAGGTGAAACGAATTACGGGATGAGATTCTCTTCGGTCCTACATGGTTCATGAAGAATTGCTGCTATCCAGTACTCCCATGTCGTGCCTACGTTGCGAAACACTCCCAGGCAGGGAGTATTTCCTTGTTTTAATCACAACATTATGACAGGAAATGAAAGAAAGGGGGGGGGGGGGAAGGCTTTGTCAGAAGGGAACATGTTATGGACGCACTATGTATGTGCTCGATAAAACGTAAAACCCTGTTCGATGCTCGCATTAGCGGTCCACCGACCGATACCGACGAGCCAGGTTCCGGCATTTATCGATTTCATGGGGCTGAAAAGGGACGGATGAAACAAGATCGCTCTTGTTCCGTTCCTCAACGAAGTGCCCCTTTGTGCGTTGGACTCGGAACGTGCAATGCATGGGAGGGGATGAGGCTCGTCGACAGGGAAGGTCATTGTTGGAACCACGTCTGGGGAACTGTGTGAAGAGAAACCGTCTTCTTCGGATTTGGGTTCGATGAACTGAGCAAGGCCGACAGCCATCTTCTTTCTTCCTTTTTTTTTTTTCTCCAAAGGTTCATATAATGAAATCTAATGGACGGTCCCGGCGAGTACAGCGTGCTCTCCTTTCCCGATGAAGAGAATGGCAAAAAGAGAAACGGGAAAACCGCCTCTGCACGCATCCGCATGCGGATGCCCCGGCTTGGACGTTTCAAGGTGACTAGGGCATTCACACCTGGAAGTCATTCCATCTCGTCATTCCTTCTCGCCTCTCTCTCTCTCCCTCGTTCGACCCGTTTCTCGGAAAGGGAGATGTTGATGCGACGCGAAAGAGGGGAAGCGTTTGTACGTTCCGGCCGAAAAATCTCCAGCCTGGCTCGACTCAGTCGCGGGGGAAGGGAAGAAAAAGAAGCGACATTCAAATGACCTTTTCATGGACGTTTATACACGTCATTTCCCTCGTCTGAGAGAGGGGTGAGAGAGAACGGAGACGACGGAAAAGAAGTTTCTTTGTTTTCGACGCTGTCACGGATGGAGTTGCGTCCATGGAAATGATAGCGACCTGGAGATCGAGACGAGAGAGAGAGAGAGAGAGAGAGAAAACGGTGGAGCATGGTACAGGCCTGGTTGCAGAGAATCTCTGGCATACTGAACGCATATTCTACGCCTGTGCTGTATAGTCCAGTGTGCCATGCCAGGGATGGGAGGGAGAGAGAGAGAGACCCCGACTGGGGTTCAAGGTCGAGTTCACCGACCGAAATCAATACTGTTACAACACCCAGAGAAAGAGCCTTTCTCTCCTCCCACCATCCCGAGAGACCATTACATTTGGCAAACATCCTCCTTCGGCTTCTCCCCTATTTTCCCGCTCGCCTACCGATCAAATCATCCAGGGCTGTTCCAATAAATGCTTTTTTTTTCATTGCTCGGCGGAGGGGTTCCCGCGCTATATTTAGAAGGGCGGAGAAACGACTTCCTGACCCCCCACGCCGGACCGTGCGGCGTGAGCCCCAAAATAAACCCATCAGGTTCGAGGTCAAAGGCCTTTCCACTTGACGTCACTGATCCTTTTTCAATGCGATACGCACATATGCGATTCCGAGAATAACCGTAACTCGAGATGTCTGGTCAGCATGGCGACCCCCACGAAGAAGTATTGTTTATCCACGCTCACGTCTCTCCGAGATTCTGCTCCATTACCCCAATATATAGACGCGCATCCCGGCGCCGCACGTCCCGGGCATTCAGTTTCTCGCATACATGAATGCCGATTCTTCTGCGCGAGAAAGAACTTTATTTCCCACCCCTCGCTTCCCTCCGCAGGGAAAAAGGATCCGTACGTGAATAAGCGCGTGGGGGGAGCAGGCTGACAGCCACGAGGAGACAGGGGACACAGGGGACGCAGAGACTGGGTTTATCTTCGCTTCGGGGCCTCCGTAGAATGACCTTGAAACACTTCTCGTCCCGTCCCGTCCCCTCCCCCCTCCTCCCTCCTTCCTTCTCCCTGCTCCCTCCTCCTCCCCTGCACTCCCTTCCATTTACGCATTGAAGGTCGGAGGTTTTTTAGAATTCCTCAGTGATTCATGCCCATGCGGTGTGTTTACCCTTCTGGTCGTATCTCGCCCCCTTCTTTCTCTCTACCTGGGAATCTCTAATGAATCTGGGTCACGGGTGACACATCGTGCGGTTCGGCGTACGATTTTTCACTCATCCTTCGGCCTCTTCACCTGGTTGCATCGTCGAAGTCGTGAGGCACTGGTTGCTCGCTTCCGGGAAATATTTCCATTCCACGGTCGCATTCATCGCTTTTCCCGTTTCGGGATCATCCTCGACGATTGCCACGTAACCAACTGTCAGGTGCGCAACTGGCAGATCCCACTCAGCATTCGCCCGATGGCAAACGCACACATGAGCAATATCTAGACTCCATGAGGACGATGGAAGCGGTTAATAATCTCCATGCCGTTCTGCAGTAACAACAAGTCTGTAATTGGCCAGTATAGGCAAGGACGCCTCCGTCCATGTCATCGACCGCAGGTTTCTTCACCTTTCCTCCCCCCCCCCCTTTTTTTTTCTTTCTTTCGTTCCATTGTGAGGCGAGTATCGAAATGGCTTGTACACGACCTCCGCTGTGTAATTCTACTACGGATGGTAATTTTTGGCCCGGTTTCAAATTGGCTAACTTTTCTTTCTCAGTCTTCCGGACAGAGGCTTTCATAGACGACGCGTTGGTAAGCAGATTTCTCTCTTTTTTTTTCGGCACGTGGGGGGAAGAACAGTTCATATTTCAGCAATGACGAGTTAAAAATAAGCATGACTTGCACACAGATGCATTCGGCGCACTCCGCGAACAAACACCTCAAGGTCTTCTTTCCCCTCGCAGATTCCCGGGGGGATGAGCAGAAAGCATTACGATGTGGATTATGCGAATTCCGAAGCCAAGGCTTCACGAAGAGTGTCTTATCACCGAGAAGTCGAATTCGGGGGGGAAGCAGTGGTAGAATGAGTAAGCGATCTTGCACGCTGCTGCTGTTGATCCAACGAACAGTTTAAAACTATGATTACCTGTAAAACTTCCGATAATTGGGGTTTATTTACGCGATTGTACAATAAGAACTAAATGTGTTTGCCTGGGTGTGGCAGTGCTCCGGGAACTGCCTGTTCAAAAATTTCGCTCGGCAAGTATGCTCTGCACGAATTCCTGGAGGCCTGTAAATACCTGCAGCGTAAAAAGGAAAAAAATAAAAATAAAGGAGACAGGAGGGGTTAAGGGGGGTCTATCTGATCTCTCTGTGTGGCCTGCGACTAAGCCTCACTCCCCGTGCCTGAGATGAGGCTTGTCAACTGTCAAATGCGTAAAATGATTAATTCTTCGCTTCCCTTCACACCTCCCATTGACATGTCTGCTCCTTCATCGCGACCTACTATGTTGAACCAGTTACTCGTGGAAAACGCGGGGACACGCGAATGCATTTGCGCCGTTGTTGTGTCAGAGGTCAGAGAGTGCGCGAATTTCCTCTTGAATGCAGACGTATGAGCGCGGATAAACAAAAATTAATGGGGGAAAAAATGATTATGGAAAGCGCCAGATTTTCTGGGGTGAATGAAACTTGGGGGTGGGGAGAGGGGACTTTTCGCCTTTAAAAATATTTTTGATGCGAGCCTCAACAATCTCTGCTGATCAAGACCACTCTGGCAGCACTCTACCCAACATCCAATGAACAAAACTTCTCTGAACCTTAATGGTCATTTCTTTACATGACGTTCTACCGCACTTACGATACGAATTGCAATGTGCCTGAAGCTCTAACATTGGAATCTGAAACCACATGGTTCTCTGAACTGTACCTAATTACTGAAGCAAATGTACAACAGAGTTAAAGGGTAAGAGAAAATAGCAGACTTTTCTGGTCATTGTAAAGAATTGTCATTCAGTTCACGAGACGCCTAGCATGGAACTTCGAAGGAAATCTATTAGTCCTCCCCGCCCCCCCTTTTTAAATTTAAATTTCATCAGCTAGTCTCTCACAATTTAAATAGAAATGAGATTCTTCAAGCAATCGCTCGGATGTTTGTGAGCATTCGAGGGACTACAACTGCGTGAAGTTGGACAACTTTACATTTTTATAACTCAACATCATGGTAAAATCCATGGCTCCATGGCTTTCGAAAAACTTCATAGTGGAACTCGTAAGCCCAAAAACTCGTAGAGAAACACAATGGAATGGATGGTTATTCTTCCTTCACCCCAGCTACCAACCTCGCAGTCTCCTGGAATTCCATTATCCTTTCTTCATATTCCCCATTATTTCGCCTGTAACTCTATTGCAGAACACAATGGAAGCTCGTTACTGGAAGGGGCTTTTGCCCAGCTCCTTCTTTTAATATTCTTTTTAGATCCAAGGTGTATATGTAATTTGGGCAGCTATTCATTGACATATCCATTTAGTTCCAAAGACAAGGGGGTGGTCATAGGTATGGAAACAATGTATGGTGGAAGCGGTGGGGCGGTTGCTGAACGAATGCGCATGCCACAACTTCATCCGCTGGTCGTGATACGTATTTAGCAGGAAAAAGTGGGGGGAAAGTTACCCGTTGCCCCCATACCCGGAAAAAAAAAGGGGGGGGGGGGAGGAGAGGATGAAATTTACCCCATCCTACGCACTCTAGTATGGCTTGACTTTTCCTCGTTGTACGGGAAGGTACCTGTTGATTTCGAGCCCTCATGCCAATTGGTTCTTTTTAGACACTTGTCAGTCTTTCACTTTCACTAAATCATATAGCTCCTCCAAACCACTCATATCGTGGGGAATATCTCTAGGGAAGGAGAATTCATACAGTGATGAGTGCTCTATTGCCCTTAGTTTACCACTAAAGGTGCATGCAGTGACTCAACTAAGCCCGAGTTTTATGGGAGGTTCGCCCGCGCCGCTCTCCGAAGAGATTCTAGGGCTAAGGAGAGGAGGGGTTTCTGATCGAAGGAGCAAAGGAGAGAGTACTTAGACCCTCTCATGGCTATCGTTGACAGACCTTTGGGGCTTAAAACCTCCAGGTCGCACCACAGCACTCCCATAATGTACCTGTTAATCTTACTAAATTAATCTGATCTCCAGAAGAAAATATTCTGTCTTTAATTCTTTAGCATTCCTGACAGCATCTCACAATAACACATGTACCCAAGAATGGAATAAATTCCAAAATCGGAGTTCCATTCAAAAACTGATCAAGCATCCAACGCAACCCAATGGTAGTGAATAACTTCCCCAAACGTAACTGCCTCTCAGCAATAAATAATGCACTCACAAATATTAACACTGCTATGTCATAAGAATGCATAGAAATAAAAAAAAAATGCATTGCCTCATTGCAGAAAAACACAGGTTCTCATTTCTCCATGGTGGAACATGACAGGAGAAGAAAAAAAAAATTGAGTACCAAGGGAACCTTCAAATATCAGTCACTGGAGAATTGGGAAGCACCAAGCCCCTCCATCCTAAGATAAAACTCATCAACTTGAGTTTCTTTTGCTTTTGAGTGCCTGTGCCTCAAAGACTTCACCATTGTGGTTCCTTGAACCGAAGATAATTCAAAATAGAAGTAATTCATAAAACATCTGGAGCTGTTCAATTCAATACTTGACAATGTGAGACACTGCCATACAAATTTGCAATTTTAAGATCAGATATGCACACCAAAAGAGAGAAAGTATAACTCACAATGAAGAGAGACATGAAGGAAGAGTGAATTAAAGACTATAAAAATCAGGGAGGGATGAACAAAAAAAAATAAAGGCCTTCTAAACAAGGACCACATCAATCATACTTCTCAAGGCACAATACCTCAAGAGGCCCATGCTTTCTGTCTGAGACTCTGAGTATTGTTAACAATCTCATAACCACAATCAAGAATCTGGAATGCTTTCTGCCTTCAAAAGTCAAGGATCACAAAATCCTCCCAAACCTCACTATGACAGTGTAACTTTTAACCACCAGCAACACCAGTTCTCTCTTGACTTGTCCTTCCTGGTGAGCATCTCCAACTTGAAGGAAAATATCATTCAATCAGCAGCCCCTGATGTGCGTTTATCTCGTCGTTGTCGAGCTCCAGACTGTCGAGGACTGGGTGATCTTGAGGAATTTCCTGTAGGAGAGAATTTCTAAAAATGTATTCTGATGCCATTTGCAAGAGTAGTCAAGCAAGATAACTACCCTTTGAGTAATGTACTCCCTATGGAGTTCAAATCTCATAAATCGTAATACACAGGATTTTTATAAAGTCCAGGAGGGGTTTTAAAATTCAATAACTTTTCAACTATTCCAAGTAGCACAAAATGGTCAATACCATAAGAATGTTTGACTCTCAATGGTTTTTCATCAATCACAATAGCACCTCACACTTCAACATATCCTCAATCCTGGGAAATGCAGCATTCGATTCCATTCAGCAAGAATTGGAAAATATTCTCACATTTGCAGTGTGATTTGATGCACCACAGTTTTAACCCTTTGAGGAGTGGGTTTTTTTTAACATCCAGAAGATCACCCATAGAGAATACATGGAGGGCAGAAGGATGTCAGCCCATATATATGCTGGCATACTCGTCAAAGGGTTAATATGTGTTTTCTGTTCTGCCAAATCTTGAAGACATGTGGCATAAATGATGGTCTTGACATGACCCCATAAAAAAAAGTATAAGTGGGACAATTCAGGCCATGCAAGTGCACCTCCACTCCCAATCCATTTTCCTGAGAATGTTCCATTCAAAAACTTCCTGACATCCTGAGAAGTGGCAGTTTGGCTAACTGCAGCACACAGTTTACTTTTTATTTAGTCACATCCATTTTGACCTATCTGTAGGGGGAAAAAACTGCAGAGGTAAACAAATTTGACAATTAAGCTTTATAATGGCATTGACTACTTAGGTCTAACTGGAAGAGTTAAAAAGTTATTGATGAAAAAAACCACTCCCAGACTCCATAACAACCATATATAAACATTCTCATCTCTAGATATGTGATCAAAAGTAACATCAATGCTGGTTTAAGCTGTTAAGGAGTAAAAAAGATCTAGCACAACTCATTTCACGTCAAACACAATATTCCTGGCAATCAATGTAAATCATAACATCAGTAGAAAACAGTTTCCTTCTTTTAAGATGAAGCGATACATTCCAACAGTGTTCCAATTGTCACTTTCACTGTTCATTAGCAGCTGTGGAGCACACAGAGTAATGTAAGACGGGGAAAATCAGATGTTGGATTAACATAATGAGAAAGCTCATGACCAACAAAGTGAAAATGTAGTTGTAAATTTTCATAGACTTAGTTCAAGGCAATGAGTTGGCAACCCAAGAGGGTTTCTGAAAAATCAAGTTGTTTAAATAAAAAACAGGATGAAAACAATCCAATGAGAAGCAACTCTTCATCAGTCTTGACTCAAGCAATTATCTAGATCATGCTTTCACTTAGAAAATCTCCAAGTGTGCCTTCCAATTTTAGGAATTCCAAGAAGTGTTGTGACTACTGAAGACAAACAGTGATGTACCACAATGCAATCTGTCATCAGCTTGATGATTGCTGCAGAGGGTTAAAAGGTCTTCAACTTCTAGGATCATCATGAGCTGAGTATTAGTCATATTAGTAGCAACTTTCTCATTCCAAAACACTCCTGTTTAGGCATTCACTCTATAGACCTCTGAAATCAACAGAGAACCATTAAAGTCTTCTCGCCTTCTACCATCACTCCCAGATTCATGTTTTCATTTCACAATGTAACATGACACATGGTTAAAGCAGAAGAATAAGTACAGCCCTACTCCTTCATAAAAGGGGAAAAACAAGATTTCCTGTAAAACACAAGAAAAAGGAGAAAACCATGTGCAGACAACAAAAGAATTGTCTCTTCTTTTCTTCCTGCTCCCTCTCCCTCCAACACAAAGGGGGAACATAATGAGTTGAAGTGCATGAGGAGAACCAAATTGCAAGCATACATTTTTGAAATCAGCACAACTTGGGATGCTCATCAGGCTATTCCATCACCAAATAACAAGGGTTTCCAATTCCTTATGCATGTCTATGAAAATGAATACAACTGCACCTAAAATGTCAGCCTTAACTCTGATGCTTGATGGAAAAACTGACAAAGAACTGACTTTTCCTCCATTAATAAATTAATTCCAACAATTGCCTAATTGAAAATTGATCCAGCCAATGCACGAACAGGGTATTTGTATGTAAACATCACCATGTGAGATTAAGCTACTTGTTTGGGTGAATGTCACAAGGATCATATATAGATTTCAGGATATTCATAAGCACACCATAAAGTCAAAAGGAAGCATACCATTAAGCCTGATTAGTTGTCACAAGGTATTAGAATGAACTTGGACAAGCAATCTCAAGATGTACTGCAAGTGTTTGCAGTTGAGCATCAGGAATGGAACCACCTGAGTGCAATAAACACTCCAGGAAGATTATAGATTTAGTTCTGTAGTGGACATAGTACATGGGACAAAGGGATATTTTTTAGGGTCATGTTTCCTGGTATGTCCTTGCCTGGAACTATGACTTATATTTTAAACCAATGGGTTAATTTCTAGCAATCAGCAAGGGCATGAACCTTGTTCTGCCATTAATAGCCAAGCCTGCCTCATGTCAAGGCAAAAACACTTGATGCTGTTGTCTGATTTTGCATGTATTAATCAACCACATGAATTGTGTGGCACTTGCCAAGATTGCAAACATACAGATCAATGTTCCCTCTAGTAGATTCAAATATAAACATGCTATATAAATAGAAGACTCAGCAAAACCGTTCCCAGCTGGGGAAATGGTATAACAAATAAAACATTTAGTCATCCTTACGCATTTCCTGCTGCAGAGTTTCAGGTGGGAGCCAGTCATAGTCAACATCATCATGCTTGGTGCCTGCCTCAGGTGAGGAAGAACTATTCTTGCCTCGGGGTCCTCTTCTCTTCCCTAGCGAGGCCAATGCCTGTTGTCCAAGTACAAGCAGTAAAACAATACCAGCTGCAAGGAAGACATATAGGAAGAATGTCTCCCCATCCAGACCCTCATCTATCTCCACAATGGGAACAGTCTTGTTGAAAACTGATTCCATAAATGAATTTCCATCCTGGAAAGAGAGGAAGCACATTTCATAATGCAAACCATTCATAGTTAACTAAAAAAGGAAAAAGCACCAGTATGTTGAGAACTGTAATGTTGAAAGCATTTCACACTGCAGAGAATAACAGGGTAGGTTTTTCATTTGTGTTTGATGCTTGTTCAAATGACTTTGATACCTATGTGTGGGCTTCCCCATGCATTGGTGCTGTGGTCAACAGAAAGGTACCCAACTCAAATGAATAATCTTCATAATGCATACCAGATCTCGATAGAGGAGGTTGATAGTAAGTCCAAACTGTCGTGATCCAAATGCTTCTGCAGGAATAAACTGATAGAGGAGAGTGGCCTCCTGATTCGGTTTCACAACATCATCATATGGCCATGCTGAGAAATTGTGAATGTGAAAACTGTAGTCCATTGGATACCGGAAGGATGCATCCAAGGTCTCCAATACAAAATCCTTGTCAGCTTTGTTGACAAACCCCACCAGGAACTCCACCAATTTCCCTGCAGGTAGTTCTGCAAGTCCAAGACATACCCATATCAATCTAGTCCCAAGACAAGATACATGCACCAAGGGCTGCTGTGATGTTAAGTCACAGACCAGATCCCAAAGCACCCTACAATAAGTTCTCTCTGTTTCAACTTCTCCTCACCAACATTATCAGAAGACTTCAAAGAGGGCTTGACAAAAAGAATTGTTGTCTCTGCATCAGGTGAAGGTTTCAATGTCTCTTCTACAGTTTCTTCCTCTTCAACTTCAGCCACTGGTGCTCCTTCTTCTTCAACTATCTCATCCTCCTCACAATCTAAAATGTCAACAAGAGTAAAAATTGTCTTCCAAACCTTGTAATAACAGACACCAAGGACAAGCAGATTCTTTCCCGATTGGAGGTTTCCTCCACCTATGTCAGGAGGTACCACCACTCAAGCCATTTTATTTTATTGGCATCCATTAACTGAAAGTAATTGGATATGGTTCATTATGTCACTATCCCCACCACCCTTTCCATCCTTCAGTCTGCTATGTCACCAATAATGGGATATATATTGAAACTACCCCTCTCTTCCTTTATCTCATCAATATAAAGGGCCAATGGCTGTATGGCTCTTAACATGATGCAATTTTTGTACTATTCTTGTTCATGAGTGGAAAGATGAGAACAGTGTTGCCCAAGGCATAAATGTATCTGCCAAGCTGTAGTGAGAGCAGGACTTCTTCTGCTCTCAATCAATGCCACACCCTTTAAGACAGTCAATCCTATGGTCTTGAACTAATGTTATGTTATCATTAGGTGAATATCACATTTTCCAAGAGTCCAATATTTCTCTGTCATTATTTGGTTCCTAAAGGTTTGAGGATGAAGATATTGTTTTTACACCAAACAGTACAAACTCAGACTCAGTCATGGAAATGACACATTTCAGCAATGGGGATAGACTTGACACAGTGACAAAGAGATGATTTACCTAGTGGCTTGGAAGGGGTTCAATACATACAGCCTGGCCAATAATTGGTAATAATCCCTTCCCATTATGCCAGGGCTTACACTCAGAAATAAATGTCTGACTTGGTTGGGCTTGAACCCTGCCATGACAGCCAAGTTTGTTACTGACCATGCCACTCACCTGTGTCTTTAAGCTATGGAGTCATTCATTTCATAATTCCTTAAATACTTGAATACTTCATATGAGATTGTCAGACCCAAAATTACAGGGTATAATATTGGAAAAAGTCCTGTAGCTGATGATGATGATGCAGGAATATAGCTATTATGAGTGAATGGGGTTGGAAGGGGGTCTACCCTTTCAGTGGTCTTCAGCTCCACTGAAATTTGTGTCCTAGCAGACACTGCATGAGTTGAGGTTGGAGCTAAATAGGCCTATCTAAAATTAAGCATGAAGTTTGGCTTGGCCTAACTTAGTCTATGATTGGTTTGCAACATGAATGAAGACCTGCAGTGAATTGAAATTAAGTCATGCCAACATTTGCATTGCACAATGTAAAATCTACAGCAGATCCAAGGAAGTACGGGCATACATCCCATGGCAGAAATAACATCAAGTTTATGGAGCCTATGTGGCAAGAATTTATCTTCAAGTCACTGTAGCCCTAGGCCCTTCAAGAGTAACATCAGGCCTATGCCTACACTAGAGTAGTCACCAAACTCACAGGCAATATTGGAGAAAGCCACCAGAAGGAAGCTTAGCAAGGCCACGGAGAGGAATTTCATCTTGAATGATTCCGAGGAAAATAATCAACTTTACAACGATATAGGCAAGAGCATCGCTCCAGGCAAGAGATCAATACGACCGTACCGGTTTCACGAGCGTGCAAGGATGGTGGCACGTTGGCAAGGAAGCCTTTCAGCTGGAGCTACGCAGATGTCAAATGAGACGAGTGAAAATGCTCCTTCAGTTAGAATTCTTACGCTAAATAAAAATATAAATCCAAAGAAATTTATCATTTAACTAGATATAACATTTTAATTGGAATAAAACTCTTTAGCAGAGAATTAATAGACGCCAATTCCAAGTAGACATGTCGTGAATCCCGGCATCATTGCCATTGCTCGTTCGGTCATCGTACACGTCACCGGAGAGCCAGGATGAGAGCAAGGAGGCCCCATGCCGAGTTGGATCTAGGACAAGTAGACTTTCTCTGCCTCCAGCACTTTTTTGATAATGCTTAGCAAAACGTCTCAGGTGGGTTATAAAAGATTCATAATATGCTTGAAATTCCAAGAAAAAATTGTTGCACGTGTATAACCTGGAAAAAGGCAGCATCATAACGTTTTTTGACAACTCTTCATTAGCTTTTTATCGAATATATCCTGCATATATAGACGGTCGTGACTGACGCTAATTCTAACCATGTTTTATGTGTAGTAGAAAATGGAACTTGGTACAAAAGTAGCCATTGAGATGCTGAAAAATCAAACTTCGGAGGTACATGCCATGGGTACATGCACATTTATCTTGTAAACTGCTTATGCTCTTGATCCATGCCCGTGGATATTTCGTCATGGGAGAGAAAATCACGAAGAAATCGAAATATTCAGAATCTTCCATATGAGAAGTGGAAGTCTAATGCGGCACTGGCTTTCCTGAAATACATCAGATGTATTTAATTCGGACATCAATCTCTCAAATGGATCATTCTCGTTATCCAGGATGGTTTTGTCCTCGATCCTGTCACGGTTTTAAGCCTCAGAAAATTTTTCTTAAAAACCAAATGGCCGTCTTTTTGTCATTGTGCCTTCTACTCAGAATTGGAAAATCTTAAAAAAGCACACACAGAACAATATTAAAATACTCACATACTATCTTTTACATAGTTTTACCACTTCTGACTGTCAATTAGTAGGCTTTCCCCCCCCCCCTATTCAAATGCTCCATCCTTTTCTACGGGCCCTGTGGTAAAGTTTTGAGCTGTGGTTTCCATTTACAGGAGGCGATGGAAATACGCTGACTCATCACAATACCAAAAGTCCTGCAGAGTCTCTCTATAACCCGTTTGGAATTGAGGGATTCCTCTTGAATCTATCCGAGCAACGGAAGTCCATTGGACTCCCCAGGTATATATCATTGCATTACTCTCGGGCTATTTTTAATTAAATATTTATTTAAATTTTAACGTCTTTCATAGACTGTTATCTATAGATCCAAAAATGAAATGAAATATTTAAGTTTAGATGTATTTTTGCCTTCGCCTTTTTATGTCACAAAATGACCTTTCCCGGATAAGGGTTAAATCATCTGTGAATATAATTGTAGAGAAAATACCGGAGTCAAAACACAATAACAATCTTACGTTGGAGCAGCGAGCTGAGCTTAGCTAGTTCGAGTACATGTGTCATATTGGATGGCGCTTAAAAAACGCGCCGAGATTTTTGCGTCCATTTCTCAACTTCCAGTTGAGCCAGAGGCCTACAAATCATACCACGCATGGATTTATCTTTCCTCTCGGTCCCAAGAAAACTATAAATTTCTGGCTGCCAGAGTACACCAGCAGCAGCTATTCGACTAAGACACATTTCTCATGTCACGCACCCTTCTGAAGAGGCTAGTGCACGAGTGTGACGCCGAGCTGACGTCTTCAAAGAAGGACCCATTACTCATATTTTAGGATAAGGTGAGACGTGATGTGTCTCAGTCGAACGGCCTCTGTGGGTGTACTGTGGTAGCTACAAATTTAGTTTTCGTGGAACCAAGGGGAAAGATAGATGTATTTGTCACATGGTTTGTAGGCCTCTGCCTCATCTGGAGGTTGAGAAATAAATGCAAAAATCTCGACGTGCTTTTCAAGCACCATCCGGTACCAGGGCCGGATTAAGAAGTTGCGAGGCCCGGGGCAAGTGAATTCCTGGGGCTCCCCCCCCCCCCCCCCCCCCCCCCCCCNGCGAGGCCCGGGGCAAGTGAATTCCTGGGGCCCCCCCCCCCCCCCCCCGCTACTTTACGCAAATACTATACTTTTTTTTAACTTAACGTTTTAATATCCTTCGGGGGCCCCCTGGAAGAGTGGGGCCCGGGGCAACTCCCTACTTTGCCCCCCCCCCCCTCCTTAATCCGGCTCTGTCCGGTACATGTGACGAAGTTGTTTCCTTGGAGTGGAATTTTGCGGGATGAAAAGTCTTTTGTCTTTTTTTGTTTGGAATGTTAACACTTTGAACAGGCCAAAGCCGGCGGAAACTACCCTTCTCAATCCTTCATCCGTTATAGAAGGGGCTATTGAACTCGGTTGACAGGTGACACCCGACCTATTTCTGGCGTGTAAAATATAATGGGATTCCCAGAATGACCGGGCTTCCGAGAAATTCTCCGAGTCCCATTGACCCCAACTAGGTCACTGTCAGGTCAGTGGCCTAAGGTCAACAGCATTTCGCCATCCTGCAGCTGCAAGTTCCTTCCCTCCTAATAAAAGGGGGCAATTGATGGGAACAGATTGGACGGAAATGTTTGTTTCCACCAGAAGCCCTCGTTTTCAGCATTGACATCGACGAGCACAATTCTAATAAAGTTCCAAGGATGTGCCAGAAACAACGCTGTTATTAAATATACCTGTACAGTATATTTAAATGTAAGGTGGATTTTATCATCTGCCTCAAGACAACAACAGATTCGCCACGGAAAGGAAAAAAAAAGTCTACAGTTATGAGGTCTCACCGTAAAGCGAAAACAACAAAACAAAACAAAAAAAACAGCAAAAAAATCATGTAAGATCCTCTGGACCTCTGATGCATGCTAATCGACCCTGTTTCGTATTTTGAAGTATGACATTTCTAGCTAGTAGGGTTCCTTACATGCACAAAGTTTTTATGCTAATGAAGTCTCTTAGCGCGAAAACTGTACAACCTTAGTAGCTGATACAGAGGGCGTATTCAGCCTCACCCCATGTGGAACCCACTGGCATGCCTTTGACATGGAAGACATTTTATTTCTGAAAATTATATTTTATTATGAGTTTGTCGAGACGAGTTTGAAATATTGTAAAGCCCCAACAGCATATGCGAGAAAAGAAAACACATTCCTGCTTTCAGCGTCTTCATTATCATATTGCCCTCTTCATTCTATGAAGAGGGCAATATGAAGAGGCCTCTCTATTCTATTCTTCATTTATTCTGTCCTCTTCATTCTCTTCATGTGTTGACAAGGAATAATAATACTTGCCCTTTTCCGTACATTTTGAGCCTGGCGCATCGCGCTGCATTGGTAATACGAGGAAGTACCCAGTGTGTTCGTAACCGATGCTCGTCCTGACATCTCGTGTAAGAAGTCGAAGGTTTCAACTAGTTTTCTTTCTCATA